TTATCCTTATGCTCTCTAACGAATGTTACCCTAGCATCTCTGTCGTTTCAAAAGGAGTGGAGTCTTCCTTGGGATGTGTGATTTCAGACTGTTTTTGTGTAGTTTATTACTTATTGTACGCTTGGTTACATTGATCCCTAATGCATGCAGATGTTCCTGCAGCTCTTCTCGGGTAACCTGTGGATTTTGTTGGATCTGGCGTCTTAATATCTTTGCTGATCTTAGAGAAATCTTCCTTGGAGCACCTGTTCGTCTTTGTTTTTCGACGCTGTTACGAGTTATAAACCTTGCAAGGAACGAAGCAATTGTAGTAAAAGGAATATTCAGGTTGTTAGACATCGTTCTGTAACTGTTCCCATCTTTCCAAAGAGACAAAATGTGTTGTTTCTGTGACATAGTCAATTCTTTACCTTTAGGCATTATTAGAACCTTCTCGTAAGACTAGAAATTGCAGAATACTCTGATAATGGCTAATAGCGTTAACTATAATTACTGATAACATTACTGGAACATTCTAGAATATACTTTTTTCATAATTAATTGATTATTTGATTCTAATAATTGGTTTGTACGAATAATTTTTTCACCAGTTAGAATTTTTAAAAAATGCATTAATTTCTGTTAGAATAAGAATTAATTAAGTTTATTATTATTTTTTAATAGTATATGTCTTTATACATAAAATGTGCCGAAATTTGTTTTATTTAAGGCTTTTACATTTATAAAAATACAATTTTTCAAGTGTACGAATATTTATCCCCCACCCCCCACTGTATGTTCGAAAAAATTCAAGCCTCTTCTGATTTTAAGTATATTTGTCTTTTTAGTTTAAAACTTTCTCGTTGCTTGCACGGCTCGTACGTGATATTCTCAGCATCCTTCTGTAGAACCACATCTATTTGTCTCCTGTTATCTCTATATTATCAGTGGGGAAATTGGCCAGCATTCACGGATATATAGGAGGATTTATATTACGTAAGAGTTCTTCACTCTTTCCTTAAAAATTCTTCATTACCACATGGTAGTCTCAGCAGCCTTCTGTAGAACCATATCTCAGTTGCCTCAAGTCTTAATCTAGTAGAAAACTGTCCAGCATCCACTACCATATACGGGGATTTATATCACATAGACCGTCCTGGGTAAGACGATAAACTACATCCGACAGCAAGGCCTCTGATCAGGAGGTTTTGAGGAGTGTGGAACTGCCTCTTAATTGCTGGCGTTCACAGGTCCACCCTGACCCGGGGTGGTAGCATCGGTTAGGGTCCCAGCTATGGGTAAATAGTTAATTGGGGTCAAAACGCTATGAAAATGTAAAAATAGGTTTTAATACCAGAATACTTTGTAAAAATTATTACCAGCAATAAATTTTTGAAGAAAAATTATTGCCAGCAATATATTTTTGAAAAAAAAAAAATTATCAGCAATATATTTTTAGAAAAAAAGAAAATTACCAGCAATAAAAATTTTGTCGGCGTTAAATAACCCATTGAGGTTGATATGCCGTAAAACAAACCAAACCAAACCAAATTATATCACATAGAATTCAGCGCTGTTTTCATTGTTTCTAAGTATATTTTTCTTTTTCTTCATACTTTGCTGAGATTTTGAAAGGCATTTTTCCCTACTCCACTGCGATTTCGGATTTCGGTGTCATATTTTTCGCCTTCTATTAAATTTCTATCATTTTAGGCTGGATAAATATCCAAAGATGCATACCAGAAGCTAAGCAGAGTATTAAGAAACAGAAAAACCTTGTTAGAAACAAAGAAAGAAAATACTGAACTTTTTCATCATATCGATCCTCCTATATGGCAGTGGATGTCGGACGATCGCCTCAAAGATGAAGAAGAGATTTGAAGCAACATAATTGTAGTTCTACAGAAGGATGCTGAGAATACCATAGACGGAATATGTGAACAACAACGAACTTTTAGAGAAAATGGAAACAAAAAGGATACTAATACTTAACATCAGGAAGAGAGAGATGAAATTTCTAAGGAACATAATGTGGAAAGAGGGCTTGGAAAGGACAGGGAAATTGTGGAGAGCCATGATCGCCTACGTCCTAAAGGGATACAGCACATAGAAGAAGAAGAATGAGCTTGAGTAAATGGATGACGGAATAGGGTTCAGGAGAAATAAAAACAGAGCAAATTTATTGAGAGCTACGAAGGAAAGGAAATTGTGGAGAGCCATGAGTGCCTACGTCCTGAAGGGACACGGCACATAAAAGAAGAGGGTATAGTCACGGACCCAAATGTACTATAATTTTCTTTCCACCAATACTTTCTACAGTCACCATAATACCACAAATTACCGAAGTATCTATATTAACAAATGCAGAACAATCTCTACACGGATAAAGGGAAGATTTTTAGCGGCAGAAATATATATATAAAGAAATATAGTCTTAAGGTGTGCTATATTTATGGGATAAAGTGCTCAATATCAGAGATAGAGCGTGTGTAAATATAAAAGTGAACATAGAAGTCAACAACCTCTAAGTTGTTGACTTTATGTTCATTTTTTATATATATATATATATATATATATATATATATATATATATATATATATATATATATATAGTCTTTATATATATATATTTTATATATATATATATATATATATAGTCTTTATATATATATATATATATATATATATATAGTCTTTTATATGTATATATATAGTCTTTATATATATATATATATATATATATAGTTTTATATATATATATAGTCTTTATATATATATAGTCTTTTATATATATATATATTTATATATATATATATATTTATATATATATATATATAGTTTATATATATATATATATATATATATAGTCTTTTATATATATATATATAGTCTTATATGTATATATATAGTCTTTATATATATATATATATATATAGTCTTTATATATATATAGTCTTTATATATATATATAGTCTTTTTATATATATATATATATATATATATATATATATATATAGTCTATATATATATATATATAGTCTTTATATATATATATATAGTTTTTTTTATATATATATATATATATATATATATATATATATATATATATGTTTTTTCCATGGATGCGGTGTAAAGCAAACCATATTGAGCAAATACACCGAACACGTGAACAACGATGCATTTCTAGAGAAAATGGAAACAAGAAGAAACTCGTCTTTAACATCAGGAAGAGATAGCTAAAATTTCTAGGGCACATAATGAGGAAAGTGGGCTTGGAAAATCTGATACTCACAGGACAGAGTGAAGGCAGGAGGGTCCGAGAAAAACAACGCATAACATAGTGAGCCTGAGTAAATGGATGATGGAACATGGTTCAGGAGAAATAACATAAAGGCAACATTTATTAAGAGCTACAAAGAAGAGGAAATTGTAGAGAGCCATGATCGCCTGCGTCCTGAGGGGACTCGGCACATGAGAAGAAAAGGGACGGTAGCGGTTAGTTTTATCCTTTATATCAGCAAACCGCCCCCTGTCCAAATGATTGTCCGTTTAAAACTCAGTAAATTTAAAAATAAGTTATTCCAAAATTCGCTTGAAGATGAAACAGAACGAATGCTTTTAATTTAATTATATAATTAAATTTAAAGTTTTTAGCTTCTGGTTTTGAAAACATGGTAATTCCTATGTAGTGAAGAAACCATATTTAAAATCGGTTAATTTTATATATATATATATATATATATATATATATATATATATATATATATATATATATATATATGTATAGTCTTTATATATACATATGTTTATCTGTTTTGCAGAGGCGGTGTAAAGCAGCCATATTGAACAAATGTCAGTTTATATCGCCGCCGTTGACGGCCTTATCTCTCATCCAAGAATTTAATTTCTTCTTTGCTGATCGCTTCCTTTATTTTGATGGCGTTGATAACTAAATTCACCACTAAAGTGTAGGTTCAGGACTAGAAGTTTCAAGGTTTATCAAAACCGGCTCACATCCTCCATTCCCTATTGCCGTTTGGCTTTGCAAGGGTTGGTTGGAGATGGGAGAAAATCATAGTAGAAGAAATTGCCGATGGCGTGAATTTGTTTAAGGAGGACCTCAACTTGCCAGGAAGTGACCACACACTTGATTTCATGATCTTCGTCTGCGGCACAGAGGGAATGAGACATACAGAATCCAGTTATGAAACTGCAATGGACTGACGCTGACTCTATAATTTCGAGTGACGCCTTCTGTAGCATGTCCAGCAAGCGTAGCCCTCTTCATCCGCTTGTTCAGCCGTTGAGATCTGTTGTAATCATCATCCGCTTGTTCCACGGTTTTGGCTGGTCGCTTTTAGTTCTTCGTCTTCGACTTTGCAGCCAAGGGTGGCCCTACCAGGAGTTTAGAACTCCCGACGGCATCGCTGTCAGAGTTACTGGACCAGGCAAGCCGTTCCATTACGACAAGGAGCGAACATCAGAGGTAGACACATAGAAACACACACGCATAGACACACATATTTGACACTGGATATCGTAGTAAACAGTTCGTCATCAAATATTACTTTAACGACAATAATAGAAATAAAAAAATAAATAAGAAAAGTATAAAACATCAAGAACATTTTTTTTTTATTATTATTTGCACATTATAGATAAACTGTAATATTTATCTTCATTAGAGTTTATTTCAAATGTCCAAAACTAATTTTAGCGTACAAATCTTAATGAATTCTATCGACAGCGGCGGGGAAAGCGACACAATTCCTGTGTGAGATATTTACGTTGATTTGTTAAGTAAGGTATGAAGACATCTGAAAGAGAGGGCCATTCAGAAAAGATAGAACTCGCTAGCAACGACCCGCGAAACTAGCTCGTTAGCCATCACTTTATTGTATGTATTTCTGAGGGAAGGGGGATGCAAAATTTTGCCAGTAGAATAGTTTCTACAATATTAATAAATTCGGAGTCGTATCTTTTCCCCTTTGTATATTCATTCAAAGAAAGAAAAGCAAGAGTTACAAGAGTAAAAGAAAGAAAGAAAGAAAGAAAGAAAGAAAGAAAGAAAGTAAAGAATGTGGCCCAAGAGTAAAAGAGAGAAAGAAAGACAAGAAAGAAAGAAAAAAAGAAAGAAAGAAAGAAGGAAAGAAAGAAAGAAGGAAAGAAAGTAAAGAATGTGGTCCAAGAGTAAAAGAAAGAAAGAAAGAAAGAAAGAAAGAAAGAAAGAAAGAAAGAAAGAAAAGAATGTGGCCCAAGAGTAAAAGAGAGAAAGAAAGACAAGAAAGAAAGAAAAAAAGAAAGAAAGAAAAAAAGAAAGAAAGAAAGAAAGAAAAGAATTTGGCCCAAGAGTAAAAGAGAGAAAGAAAGACAAGAAAGAAAGAAAAAAAGAAAGAAAGAAAAAAAGAAAGAAAGAAAGAAAGAAAGAAAAGAATGTGGCCCAAGAGTAAAAGAGAGAAAGAAAGAAAGAAAGAAAGTAAAGAATGTGGTCCAAGAGTAAAAGTAAGAAAGAATGAAAGAAAGAAAGAAAGAAAGATAGAAAGAGAGAAAGACAAGAAGGTGATACAAAAGTAAAAGAAAGAAAAACAAATGATAAAAGAAAGAAAGAATGAAAGAAAGAATGTGGTACAAGAGTAAAAGAAAGAAAGAGAGAAAAAATGGTACAAGAATAAAAGAAAGAAAGAGAGAAAAAATGGTACAAGAATAAAAGAAAGAAAAACAAGTAATAAAAGAAAGAAAGAAAGAAAGAAAGAAAGAAAGACAAGAAAGTCGTATAAAAGTAAAAGAAAGAAAGAAAGAATGTGGTTCAAGAGTGAAAGTAAGAAAGTATGAAAAAGAAAAAAGAAAGAAAGAAAAAGTGGTACAAAAGTAAAAGAAAGAAAAACAAATGAGAAAAGAAAGAAAGAAAGAATTAATGAAAGAAAGTGGCGAAAGAGTAAAAGAAAGAAAGAAAGAAAGAAAGAAAAGTGTTCGAAAAAGTAAAAAAAAAAGAACGACAGAAAGAAGGAAAGAAAGGAATCAAATGGGGGTAGAAAGCCCGAAAAAGAAAGAAAGAAAGAAAATATGGCGGACGGTGTAATTGAACGAAACGAACTTAAAAATGACGTTTAATGTGAGAAACACGATTTTTTTTTATTTCTCTTTATACTTTTTTAGTTTTTATATTTATATGGACATTTAATACGAGGAAAAAATAAAACAAACGTTTATAAACACCAGATAATCTCTCTTCGACTCTGTTTTATGTAAATAAATGCGAGTGAGCGTGTTTGTGTACATGAAGGTTTTCACATACACACACACACACACAAACACACATATACATATTTGTGTGTGTGTGTGTGTGTGTGTGCGTCTCTTTTTATATCAATCTATCTATTCCAGTTTTTGTTCATATCTATTCCTTTCTTTTCTTGAAAATAAATATTCCAGTATGTTGCTAATTCTCCCCTTCCTTCTCTCTCTCTCTCTGTGTGTGTGTGTGTGTGTGTATCTGTGTACGTGTTTATGTGCATTAGTAGCAATCTGTTCCAGCGTGTTCATAAATCTATCTATCTATCTATCTATCTATCTATCTATCTATCTATCTATCTATCCTCGTCTGTTCGTATCTATCTATCTATCTATCTATCCCTATCTATCTATCTATCTATCTATCTATCTATCCTATTCATCTATCTATTCGTATCTATCTATCTATCTATCTATCTATCTATCTTCGTCTGTTCGTATCTATCTATCTATCTATCTATCTATCTATCTATCTATCTATCTATCTATCCTCGTCTGTTCGTATCTATCTATCTATCCCGTCTGTTCGTATCTATCTATCTATCTATCTACGGGGGTAAGTCAAAAGTAATCCGCACTTTTTTCCCATAACGTATCAGCCTTTGAAGCATTCAGTCTTCGTGAAGCCACTCTTGTTAAAAATACAAGAAAGTGACCCCCGTGAAGCCAACACACAGTGAACACCACCCCTACATCCGAGAGACGCAAAGAATAAATAAATATAATAAAATAAATAATAAAGCAACATTTCTAATTATCCCCGCCCCCTACCCGACACACACACACACAAGGCAGGATGTGACACAAGGCCAGTTTTTAACGTGGTGCCTTCCATAGGCTCGGGCAAAAATCGCCCGTAGACCCTGTATACACGAGGTCGGGTTTGTCTACCTCCCCAGACTCTACCCTTCGGCATAGCCTCCATCTGGGTTACTCTCTGGGGCAGAGAGTTCAACAAGAGAGCAAAATAATAAATAATAAGTCGTTAAAACAATTTTTTTCTTAAGAACTTTTGAAAATGACGTCAATAAAAAAACAATGACGTCTGTTCTGTCAGAAAATATTCAAGGTTCTGTTTTAATGACGACGACTTTTGAACCCGTTGCACTCGGACAAGGTTTCAGCGTTTTAATATTATTTTTACCATTGAGTGAGAGAGCAACGCCCCAATAAAGTGACGCTGGTGTACAATAATACGAAACTCTGTATACCCATCATGGCGCCCAGTCCGGTAAGGGTATAACAATCACATGCATCACAGCCAAATGTAAGCTACCAAAATATGAGTTCTTCTGAGTTGAAATCAGTTAAGCTTTCTGACCAAGAAACCTACGTAATAATATTTATGCGAGAGGAACTGGGAAAAAGCGAAGAAAAATGAAAGGAACATGCTTATAAAGATTCGTAAATTTCAAGATTGCTTATTCCTAAATTTTCGCTTGAGGATGAAACAGGGCTTGGTACTTTAATTCAATTTAATTTTAATAATTATATTGAGATTTTTGGCTCTCGTTTTTGAAACATGAGAACTCTTATGTCGCGAAGGAAACATATTTTTTTTTTTTAAATAATTATAATTTAAGCTCTACTTCTGTATGGAGCACTGTTTTTTTAAAAATAAAAACAAAAATACTAAAGAACTCCGGATTATTTACCTAACGTGTTCTTTCCTATTTTTCTATATATTTACACACACACACACACACACACACACGCACACACATACATACACACATATTAGTTCATGTCACATTAACTGGAAAACACTTACAACAAAAGAATTCGTGGATTTACCAAATTACAAAATTCATATAAAAATTCTCACTTGAAATATTTGAACTTTAGCGTTGCGAATTGTACGTTCCAATATTATACAACAGTTAATAAATAACACATTCTTAAAAAAAACATCTTTAGGTCTACAACACATTTATTTTGTCTTCCAGTTTTGATTTTAAAGGAAAAAAATTACAGCCTGATGATGTAGATATGATGTCTTTGAAAGTACTTGCTTCTGTAAAAAATCCATCAAATCCATCTGACAACAATTTTCTACATAAGGATCGCATCATTCAGTGGATTGTTAGTAGTTTAATGCTTATATTAAGTCTATTAGCGAAGAGATTTCGCCATTAATTGCATTAATATTGCTAATTAATTCAATGTATGATTCTTTCTTTATAATATAAAAAATATGTATATATATATGTATTATAAATTTACTAGTTTAAAAATATGGTTCCATCGCTACACAGGAATTACCATGTTTCAAAAACAAAAACTAAAAACTTCAAATTTAATTATAGAATTAAATTAAAATCCCAAGTGCCGTTTCATTTTCAAGCGAATTCTGGTTCCAAAATTCCCTCTGCAGAATTATATTGAGTACTTTTTAAAAAAAAATAAAATAATTAATAAGAACACTGAATTATAAATCTTACTGCTTTTTCTCTTTATTTATTTTTATATATATATATATATATATATATATATATATATATATATATATATTGTCGGTTTTATTTTGTATTGAAGAATTAAAATTCTTCTTTGCTGATCGCGTCCTTTATGTAGATGGATTTGACGACTAAATTTGTAGCCAATGAGAAGATCCAGGACTAGAAGTTTCGCCAAAACCTGTTCCCGTCATGCATTGCTTATCGCCGTTTGGCTTTGCAAGGGTTGGTTGGAGGTGGATGAAGATCAGAGTAGAAGAAATTCCGATGGCGTGAATTTGTTTAAGGTGGACTTCAACTTGCCACGATGTGACCCACATAATTGATTTCATGACGGTATATATGGAATGAGACATGTTGCAGAATACAGTTATGAAATTGCAACGGACTGCCGCTGATTCTGCTATAATTTCGAGTGGCGCCTTCTGTAGCATGTCTGTAATGCGTAGCCTTCTTCATCTGCTGGTTTAATTGATGAGGCATCTTGGAATCGTCAGTTGCTTGTTCAACCGTTGGTATCATTGGGGTTTGTTACACTTAGCCTGTGTCCTCACATTCCACCTTACCGCCAAGGGTGGCTCTACTAGGAAATTAGAACTTCCAACTGCTTCGCTCTCAGTGTCAGTGGACCGCGCAAGCTTCTCCACCACAACAAGGAGCGACCATCCGATGAATTTTGGATACCTAAGATTTAAAATGATTTTTAAAAATGAAATAGCATTCTCGAAGATTTCATTTTAGATTTAATTGAAAGCTAAATGATTAAATTTACTATTTCCAATAAGCAAAATACGCTGGTGCATTTCAAACAGAAATTATACAGATTGGAATGTCAATTTTTTTGCTTGCTTTCACAAAATCAATTTACAAGCGGCTATTTTCTACATTTTAAGACATTTGTAAACAAAATTCAATTATCGGCTTTAAAAACCTTCCAAAAATAAAATATATATTTGTAACATATCATTTGAGGAAAATTAGCAAATTTAAAGCCAAATTAATCTAATTTGAAACAAATATTATTTACTTATACCACAAAAATCGTAGTATACAAGCATTTCTTAACCACGCGTCATGATTTCTTTTAGCTATCAACGCCTTAGCCCGTCGATAAAATCAATCAACACCTAATTATGGATGACCAGAATTGACATAATTTACGTAATCTAAGTGAACCCATTTTTTTCTTGTTTTTAACTGCCTAGTAATTTTACAAATTAACAATATTTTCAGCAATTATCTAATATTTAATGTTTTAAAACTTTGATGGGATGATATGCAAAGCCTGTTGAGATGTAAACATGCAATGAATAACGAATTGCAGACAAGCGAATAACATAACAAGAAAGGAAGTAATGCAGAATTATAAATGATTTTTAAATTATTATAAATTATTAAAATTAAAATTTAAAAAATAGAAAATTCTTGTAAAAATTCATTATTCATCGATTTTTTTTATCTTAAGACAATAGTGTCATTAAAAGCATTTTAATTAACTTTTCTAATTAATTAATGTTTCATAATTTTATTGCATTTTTTAGTATACGATTTGAAAAAAAAATGGATGGCATACATTCTCCAAGGAGTCCTACCTTAAAGTAATAAAAAAATTTTGGAAAGAAAATTTAATTTCTCGAAATTTCATGAAATTATGTGGTGGGGTAACATGTAAAAAAAAAAAAAATTGCCAATATTTTCTAAAAAAAAAGTTAAAAAATAATTTAATTCATTTGTGAATACGTTCTGAAATTTTCATTAAAATCCGACAATTATTTAATTTTTACAAGAATTTCCAAATCAATGTGCTTTTCACCGGAAAAAGCACAAAAACATTATCGTATTTAATACGTCATTCGCTGACGTAAGAAAAAAAAAAAGATTTTAACCAAAATTTCGAACGTGCTAGAAAAGGATTAAAAAATTTAATAAAATAATAAAAACAAAAGTACTTTAGTCTTTCCTCTTAATAATAACATTTTGACAATAAAACTTTAATTAGGGTTTTTTTTCTTTCATCATGCTATGCAGTTTTTTTTATCAGGGAAAAGTGGAAGTAATTTTAGGTAATATATAGTTAGGAGAAATATATTTCGCTCACAATGTAGGATATTGGAAAGCAACGGTGACAAAAACAAGAGCAAAATCGTTTGAAAACTTAATGAAATCGGTTAAGCTGTACGTCTAGACACATCGGATTCCAGAAATTCAAAATTTAGCGTGCTTATATCTTCAGCATTTCTCTCGGTGTATAATTAGAAATGAGGTTTTATTTATATTTCACCCCTCCGACCGATATATATATATATATATATATATATATATATATATATATATATATATATATATATATATATTTATATTTTCGAGGAATCTAAATGGAATAATAATAAAAAAACAAAAGAATATTAATCTACAACCCAGTGTGTCTAAAGATTTTAATTAATTTTTTTTATTTTCTTATTGTTCAATATATATATATATATATATACATATATATTCGCATCAATAAGAACTTTTTTTAATCTGATGAAGTCCTTTGAAAAAACGAAGAGCGTTACGGAGAATTTTTCCCTATTGTCATTCAGTTACCCACTATATTCATATATATATATATATATATATATATATATATATATATATATATATATATATATATATAAAGAAATATAGTCTTAAGATGTGCTATATTTATGGGATAAAGTGCTCAATATCAGAGATAGAGCGTGTGTAAATATAACAGTGAACATAGAAGTCAACACTCAGAGGCGACAGTCTGTTTCATGCTATATGCAATCGTCAGGACTGATGATTGCATATAGCATGAAACAGACTGTCACCTCTAGTGTTGACTTTATGTTCACTTTATATATATATATATATATATATATATATATATATATATATATGCATGTATGTATATATATATATATATATATATATATATATATATATATTGATTACATGCTATTTTATAGATACAATTATTTAACTAAATGTTCTGTTTACAATAAACAGTATTAATTACATTTACCTGCTGACTTAGATCAATTTATAATATATATATATATATATATAATAGCTGGCCACTCGTATTCGAGGATACCGGTCTAGCTAGTCCCTTTTGCAGACACTAGCTCAGGCTCAACACCCACAGCGCCCACCTGTGCTTTATAGTACAACGATGCTGAGCAGACCTTAGTTACAGTTTCTGGGAGAGAGACTGCGTTATCAAGGATTAAATATTTTAAGTGTTAAATAAGAAATAAAACATACATACGACAAACTATTTCATTTTTATTTAGACTGGGTGATACAAAGAGCCAATTCTATTCTGATGTAAGCAATGTTGGAAATATGGTTCAATTCTTCGATGTTTTGGCGCTGCCAATATATACACATATATATATATATATATATATATATATATATATATATATATATATATATATATATCTACCGACAGACTGTTTCGCTGTATCACAATTCATAAGCCGTCCGATTGTCTTTAGCTAGGATCGAAACCCAGCTGAATTAACGTCAGTCGGAGAATCTACCCATAAGCCGTGGTGTGTATGTATGTATGTATATATATATATATATATATGTGTGTGTGTGTGTGTGTACACATTATATGCAAACACAAACACACGCACACATATATAATAGTATTAAATAAAAGATAAAAATAAAAATCTCACCTATTTACTTTAACAAAATATATATATATATATATATATATATATATATATATATATATATGAAGAAATATAGTCT